CTGGATGGTACCAGCTGAATGAATAAAAGTGAAACATTTTCTATGCTGCAATTCTTTTTCCAAACAAGGGTCTGATGCATTCATAATGGAAGTGATAGCCCCCTTGCTCAGCTACTATCGTCATCTATTCCTATCTGTGCAGCCAGTATTCCAGTAAGAAATGACAAATTCATGCTCTACAAATTAATAATTGATAGGACCAAATCACAGAGGATCACCGGCAGAATGGTGATTAATAACTTTATGATCAAAGGTGTAAAAGCCCCTTCCTGTTGAGCTATGGCTGTAATTAGCTCATCCTCCAGTGGAGAAAAAAAAAAAAAAAAGATTAGCATAGAGAAGGAAAGCCATCACAACCCCATGTGAAGGAGGCTCTTTAAAGTTTTCCTGTCATTCTTCAGCTACCCTGGTTCCTGTGACAAGTGAGTCACATGCTGTCATTTCATTTGCTGGAGCTAAACCATGATAGATTTTTCTGCCAACCCAGCAAACACCACATAGGAGAAAAACTCGCTGGGGAAATGATCCAGTGTACCGATTTATTTTGAATTTTCTATTATTTCAAGAAAAGATCAGATAAAGTTGCCCTAACTGATTTGGCTCAGTGGATAGAACATCGTGGACTGAAAGGTCCCAGGTTCCATTACAGTCAAGGGCATGTATCTTGATTGCGAGCACATCCCCAAGAGGGGGTGTGTAGGAAGCAGCTGATCGATGTTTCTCTCTTATCGATGTTTCTCTCTATCCCTCTCCCTTTCTCTCTGTAAAAAAAAATCAATAAAAATATATATTTTTTAAATCAGATAAAAAATAACAATAACTTCTTATAAGATATCTGAATGAATTTGCATTTTAAAATATAAAATAAGGTAACTTGAGTGGAAAAACACTTTTTGAATTCTTATAATTTGATGGCTTTTGATTTCCTGATTCATGCTAATATCTGTTTTTTTTCGTGTTTTCTAAAGAAATTAGATTACATTTTCAAAAGTTGCTAATGGGCAGGAATTAGAACACTAAAATTTTTTTAAATATATTGAAGAATTTAAAACTAAGAAGTCACCACTAATTAATAACCAACTATAATAATATTTTTTTAAATAAAATATTTGGAGTTTTAGCTTCTCTCTTTAATGGAATTGTGCTATGATTTATGCACAGTAAACTACACAAAGTATATAATTCAATGAGTTTTTAACAGACAGACTCCTGAAACCACCACAATCATTATGAAGAATTTCTCCATCATTTTTGCAGTCCCTCCTTCTATCTTTGGCCTCCAGGTTTCCATCTTTATTCACAAGCATGCATTTTATTTTTATATGAATGTGATCATATAGTGTGGACTCATTTAGTGTGGCTCTTCTCTTGCTCAGCACAGCATCTGGGAAATATGCCCAGGTTGCTGCATGTATCGGTCATTCACTCCTTTCTACTGCAGCGTACTATTCCGTCATATGGATGTACACCATCTAGTTGGTGATCCATTCATCTGATGATGGGCTTTTGGGTTGTGTCCAATATTGGGCTATTATGAGCAATGTTTTATTAACAGTCTTGTATGAGTGTTAGTGTGGAAATAAAACAGACGAGATGTTAGCATTACTGTATATGTAGTTGAAGTTCTGATGCACATATATTGTTTAATTGATGCGGGGAGCATTTTATAAAACTCGAATACTATGATTTCCATGGCAGATGAGATGCCCCCAGTCCTCTTCATCCCTAAACAAAACACCTTTCAGGTTGTACATGCACGACTCTACTGGGTGCCATTTGTATCATGATGCACCATCTGCTCAACTGCATGTGGCAATGTGAGTCCGTAAGTAGTTTTCTTCAAATGAGGACAGAATATTTCCCTTGCCTGTCCATCCCCTGATATAAATCCTGATGGGCTCATCTCTCTAGAAGTCATTCCCATCATTGTTCTGTCTCAGTTAAGAGTACTCAGAGGCCTGCCCTTGCCACTTTCACACACCATGTAGCCAACGATGTGGCTATACCAGCCCAGCTTCTCTGCCCTCCCATGTGCTATCATCACATCTCGTGAGTGCTTTTCCCAACCCTGCTCTTTCTTTGCCTGTGCAAGTTCCTTCAAACCCTCTTCCAGGCCTCACTTCAGGCCCTGAATTTGTGGACTTGGTCCTCCACTGAATACCTAACATCCTGTTATCCTTACACTTGCTCTTTAGTTATTTCCACATATATATATATAATCTCCTGAATTATATTTCAGTCTCCCGAAGGCCAGACTGAAATACTTTATTGTCCTATATAATAAAGAGGTAATATGCAAATTAGTCCTCACGCCATCACAAGATGGGGTTCCTGTAACACAAGATGGCTGTGCCCACAGTGAAGGTGGGGTTCCCATAATGAGTGATCAGCAGGGATCTGAGGCTGTGTGGTGCCAGGCCAGGTGGAGCACCTGAGGCTGCACTGCCCCCTGCTTGCTGCCAGGCCAGGGGACCTGAGGCTATCCCCCCCACCCAGTGGGGCTTGACGGGGATGAGGCCAGCTGGGTCTGGGTCTCGTGTGATTTTGAGATGCACACGGGTGGGTGGGGACTTGACTCTGGGTCCCTCAGCACACCCCAGACTCTGATAGGAGGAAGATTTTCATATTTTATTAATTTTCCTTCACCTATGACACTTCTATTATAGAGAAATGGCAAATGGCAATATTAAAATATTTCCTCTAATTAATTCTCTTTTAATGTGCATGAATTTCATGCACCAGGGCACTAGTACTATATAATAAAAGGGTAATATGCAAATTGACTCTAACAGCAGACTGAGAATGACTGGTCACTATGACACGTACTGACCACCAGGGGGGCAGATGCTCAACTCAGGAGCTGCTCCCTTCCCTGGTTGTCAGTGTGGTCCCACAGCGGGAGCTCTGCTCAGTCATAAGCCAGGCTGACAGCTGTGAGTGCAGTGGTGGTGGCAGGAACCTCTCCTGCCTTTGTGACAATACTAAGGATGTTGACTGATGGACATACCCTGAGGGCTCCTGGGCTTCCAGATGGATGTCTGACTGCCAGCTTAGGCCTGATCCCCCAGGGAACTGGCCTAAGTTAGCAGGTGGACATCCCCCGAGGGCTCCCAGGCTGCCAGAGGGATGCCTCCCCTTCCCTCTCCTGAGTGCACAAATTTTCATATACCAGGCCTCTGGTATAAGTATAAAATGACAAACTTGCTAAATAGATGGATTTCTATATATTCCCTCAATCCCTTAATACGATGCCACTGCCACAATGGCCAATGACCAGACCATCTTTGACTTCACCTTGAGCATGCAAATAACTCCCTCCTCACTGAATTATTGTAGCCTCCTCTTGGGTGAAAGAATAAGATGATGACTATCCTAAGAATTTTGCAGAAGCAAAGGCCAGTAATGGTAAATCCTTGGAGTCCTTGATGGGCCTGGAACAAACCCAGGTGTATCCCATATCCAGGGAAAGGCCAGAAAGGGGGAAGGGAAAGGAGGGACCTGCTGATTTCAACAATTCCTTTTGGCAGAGTGGATCGAGTCTGAATAGATGTTGTAGGCTATTTTTAAAAGCCCTTCACTTTGTGCCTGATTTATGGGCAGACACTAAAAATATTAATAAGTAGAAATAGTGCCGATCCATGAACTTGATGAGCTTTCAATTTCTGGAGCCACAAGGTGACAGACTGCCTCAAAGATGCTTGCATCTTCATAATATCCTAGAGGGATTTAACTTTAAAGAAGAAAACATCGGTATTCTAAATCCCAGTTTGGCACTTAACTGTGTTAAGTCATTCCGTTACATTGGCATCACTTAGATAGCCTTAAAAAAGGAATTTTAAAAAACACACACACAGATTGTACTACACATCACAGAAGTTTTAATATAGATACTTTAAGCCCAAGGGAAAGTATGTCCTATGCAAATGACTTCCCTGGCTTTCTTCTGGGCCCCCTAATTCCAACTTGCATACAGTTATATTGATACAGGTCAAAGGTTTATTAAAAATGACTGTACTGTCAGGGCCAAGGCAAGAAAAATAATGTCTGAAGAAGTGTATCACAGGAGGACATTTAATCAAGGAAAACAGGAGTTGGCAAACGGAATGGTCCCCATACCAATTTACTCACCTATCCTTGCCAGGAAGACCAGGTGCAGACCTAACCTCATGACTTGGGCACACCATTATGATAATTAAAAATAGAAAAGCCCAAGCATGGTGCAACCTCCTTGGAAAAAGTCTGGCAGTGTTTAATAAGGCTGAGGATACATCTACCTTTAATGACTCAGCCATTCCATTTCCAGGTATATGCCCTACAGAAATGTTTGCTTAGGTGGCACCAAAGGACACCTAAGAATACTCACAGCAGCATTCTTTGTACTGTCATAGCCTTTGTGGAAAAAGCCCAATGTCCACTCTCAGGAAAATGGATACACAAATTGTGGTATAATCTCACAATGGAATACCACACAATGATATTTTAGGTATGCTTGTTACATCTAAAATATTTTTGTTTAAGAATGAAAAACGGGAATAATATATTTCGGGATCGTTAACAAGATTATTTTTGCCCTGAACATGTCAAGAGAATTTAGCAGCAAATCCTACTATTGAATATCTATGGTGTGTGTTTTAAAGTTGAACCATTACCCACTTTTAAAGAAAAGTTTTTATTGATGTTAGAAAGAAAGGAAGGAAGAGGGAGAGAGAGATAGAAATATTCATTAGAAAGAAACATAGATTGGCTGCCTCTTGCACACCCCCTACTGGGGACTGAGCCTGAAATCCAGGCAAGTATCCTCACCAGGAATCACTAATATCTTGATGCCTCAGGCAACACTCAACCAACTGAACCACATGGGCCAGGCAAAGCATTACCCACTTGAAATATTCTCCTTGAGCCCTAGCCAGTTTTGCTCAGCAGTTAAAGCATCAGCCTGCAGACTGAAGGATCCTGGGTTCAATTCCAATCAAGGGCACATACCTTGGCTCAATCCCTGGCCCCAGTCAGGGCACGTTTAGGAGACAACCAATCAATGTGGCTCTCTTACATCGTGATGTTTCCTTCTCTCTCTCTCTCTGTCTCTCCCCTCCCCCCCTTCCTTCTACTCTCTCTAAAAATCAGCAGGGGAAAAAATATCCTCTGGCGAGGATTTAAAAAAAAAATTCTCCCTAAAAATATCTATTTAGTCCTGTTCACTAACCAAAATGATTACATTTGTCAAACAAAAGTTCATGGCATTATAACATGGAAATCTTTTTTAAAATGAAAACTATTACAGTCTTTTATCTAAATTAAGGGGAGGAAGAAAAGTAATGTTTGGAAGCTATCACTTGAAAGCTGCCCAAGGATTTACATTTTCTAGACCTCACAACTGGGACCAGCCTGTGAGACCATGAACTCTCTCTCCTGTGTGCCCTTTTCCTTTCAGTTGACCATCCATGTCAAATCACTTCCTCCATTACTGACCTTCTTCTAAAGGACATCACGCATGAAGAGTGCAAGGGTCAGTGATGGAACCAGAGGCCTGAGAGAGCCACACTCCGAATCCCAGACCCTGCAGGGCTGCCCTATACTGAGTATCCATGGGCAACACTGACTCCATGTTTCACTTTTCTCTTCATGAAATTGAGGTCATAACCTACTTCGTGTGCTTAGCTATTTCAGAATAAGGAATTATTATTTCAAGACCAAAGAAATTAATTTCAATTTAAAAATGTCTTTATTTATGGGTAGATTTAACTTATTCACAAGAGACACTTTATTTTTCAGCTTTTGTGTTTGGAACATTTTGAAGGATTTCCATTTTAAAAACTGACTTCACTGGCTCTCTCCTTTTCTCTGTAGGTCCTCTGCAACTTGGGATTATATTTGATGGGTCAGAGAAAACAAAAGAGTTTCCACCTGAACAAGATGGGAGGAAGCAGAACAAGCACAGAGATGCAGACGGTTTTCTAGTTGGATGTACTTTCAACGTGAAAGGTTGAGCATGAGACACGATGAGGCCAGGAAAATATGTCACTTTACAACTTAAAATGACATTTGACTCCCTATACATTTTCCCAGTGCTATTATGTATGCATCAGACAAAAACTTTACTGTATGTGGGGTTTTTTTTGTTTTGTTTTGTTTCTTTTCAAGATAAAAGTAGCAATGTCAAGTTGGCAGAAATCCAAGGAAAAGAAAGTTAATTATACAGAATGGATTCAGAAAAATTACAAGAATTCTAAATACCTTCATATACAGAGTCAAGCTGTTTGATCTATAGAAAAAGCTCAGGGATCAAAAACAAACAGGCCTAGATTTTCCTTTCTATCTACATCCATTTTGGAGTAGTAGACACCTTGGAGGGTCTACAGGAAGTTGTGAACGGCAAAAAATATGACATGCATTGTCAGATAATTCACAGATATGCTGAAGCCCATCCACCCACTGCAACTCCTGGGCCAAAGATCTGAAGCGCTAGAATAATGCCTCAGGTGCTCCAGCTGATAAGATGGAGAGACCAGAAGCTCTGAGCAATCAGAACAGGTGTCTTATGAAGGCAGCAGGAAACCGAAGAGCACTCACCATTTTTCCAGCTCTGGGAACTGGGCTCTTTTTATGGTAAGGAACAGCCTTACTCATTATCGCTCAAGGTGAATTCATTGGGAAAATACCTGAGGAAATTGGCAAAACAAGAACTTCACCCCTGTGGCCAGCCTCACTCAGGAAAAACTGCATAGCCAAGCCTCCTGGTGGCATGGCCTTGGGGACTCGTTCATGGATTGGAGCCCTGGAGGTCATTTAGGCCTCAGAGAGGCTCCAAACATGAGTTCCTGTATTTTTACTTTGGTGTGTGCACCTGTTTGCATGACTCTGCTACCTGCTCTACCACATTTTGCTCCATTCTTATAGTCAACTCACGGACTCTCTGAAGTATAGTCCATGTCTCCAAATCTGATTGATTACTGTCTCCTGAAGATGGGCTCTCTTAGGGTCAGATTCTCTCCCCTCTGCTAATCAGCTCTGACTACCTTTGACTTGGAAGAATTGTCTCAGAAAAGGACCGACCATGGCCAGCCTTCTGAAGTTGGGCCTGTCTATGCTTTCCCCCAAAGATCTCATGACACTATATGAATATAACTCCAAGTTTATACCTACTGAGCTAGGACTTGGAAATAGTTTCATACAATATGAAAATAAAACTCTGTTGCACCATGGGTCACTCCATGCCAGCGATGAGTCAATGGCAAGTTTGACAACTGAGTTCATCACATGGAGAGAACAGCAATTTTCAACGGGTGTGCCTTAAGGGTTTTTAAAATATGCAATACCTGACTATTTAGTCAGGGGCACTGACCTCCTTTCCCTTAGATTGTCAAATATTATAAAATATGACAACACCTAACACTGCAATAGCCGTCTGGTGTGAATGAATAAATATTATACCTATTTTTTTTGTCAGATCGGCATTTTTTTAATTTTAATTTTTTGGTGTGCTGCAGAATTTTAGTAATTAACCTGTGTGTGCCATGAGATGGAAAAGGTTGAAAACTACTGGGATAGAATATTCTGACCTTGGACTTCTGTGCCTATCAGTGCTACACAGAATAGACCTTTGTGCTCAAAAGAACTAAAATGTTAAGCAAGCTTTGTTGAAATATCTTAAAACCTTACTTTGGTGATTAAAATGTATCAGTATAGGCCCATCAGTGGTACCAAATGCACCATTCTGGTGGGGAATGTTGGTTAGGGGGAGGCTGAGCAGGTGTAGGGGCAGGGGGTATATGGGGAATCTCTTCCTCTCAATGTTGCTGTCAGTCTACAATTGTTCTTAAAAAGTCTATAAAAAAATAAAGCAAAACAAAAAATAACTTTAATAAAATATTCACATAGTTGTTTTTCCCAGTAGGCCATCTATTCTCAACCCATAATATATTATCACTGGTTTACCTTAAAGTTAAATGTTATCTGTTGGATTATATTGAGAAAGGCAAAACAATATAAAGAGTTACTATAAGGAAGTTCAGTTAGATTTCTTCCAACTAAGTTACTTGCAACGAACTTTATAAAGTTCTTTAGAAATGGGAAAATTATGCTTTAAATATCCATGAGAAATTAGAGGGTTTGATTTTAGCTCCTAATGACTTTGGCCAGCATTTCCCAGAATGCAGCAGAAATGAGTTTTATGAGACTCTTAGAGTGGAAAAGAGTTTTGTGGTTCAATGAGTTTGGAAACACTACACACTCTAGTCCTCAACCTGAGAATTTATTTATAACCCTCACCAACATATTAAAGACACTTGGAAGCCCTGAGGTAAAGAAGCCCGTTTCACTGTATCTAACTTAGCATTCCCCATTTCCCAAGTGCACTTGACCATAACCTCCCTTCCATTTTCTAATTATATATTGATTGCCCAAGGAAATAGTATTCTGTGGAAGAAACTTTGAGAAGTGCCAACTTAGGCCAAAATGCTTATAACCCATCATTGGAAAATTGCTTCGTTTAGAGGGGGAAAAAAATTCTATTTTGAAGCAGTTTGTACAGAATAGTCTCATTTTTATTAAATGTTCTTCAAAAAACTTTGAAGATGAAGAATAATAAACCAGCTGCTGTTATAGCTGGGTGGTGGGTTAAAGTGGATTTCCTTCTCATTTTCTGTTCCTTTGAAAGTCTTTGACATGAACATTTATTTATCCTATATAATAAAAGGCTAATATACAAATTCTCCCTATGGGTGGGAGTTAGACGTGCGCTGACCACCAACGGGCAGTGCAGAACATGGCGGGCATCGGCAACATGGCACTGGCAGTGGGCAGCAGTGGAGGCGCTGCTGGCTCCCATGGGCCCCACTGAGAGCAGGACCGAAGTGGGATGGTGGAGCAGGTGGGTGGGCAGTGCCAGGCCAAGGCAGGTGCAAAGGGAGGCCATGGCCAGCAGTGGGCAGCCACTAGGGATCCTACCCCTGCACAAATTTCATGCACTGGGCCTCTAGTTTTATAATAAGAAAAAATATTTTTAAAAAGACAAATGCCTACTGACCCTTTGGGGAGAATACTGTTTAAATTTTTGAATTTTGAATAGAAGCAAGTTTGGGAGAGGTAGGGTGGCAAAATGTTTTTCTCTGCCTTTTCTGTTCTCAATCTTTTTCAGCCTGTACTTTGGCAAATGAGGCTGAGGTAAGAAAAATGAGAGAGTAAAAGTTGTTGCTTTTACTCTCTCATTTTTCTCATTGTGTATATCCAGGTTTTTGCAACAATTAGGTTGGAAGGACTAGAAAATATGACTAACAAATGACTCACTTCATTTCACACACACCTTGAGATAAATGGGTATTATATAATAGTGTGATAATACCAAGATCCTTAAGTGAGGGCCAAAATACAATTTTTGGCCTGCTGTTAAGAAGGAGATTTGAAAATAAAATTAGGGTTCACCAAGGACTAGATGGCAAACAATGGCCAACAAATTTTTTTCAGACAAGAGTCAATGAGCCACCTTGCTCCTGTTGTTTTGGTCATTGAGTTTTACTGAGAGTTAGTGTTGAATTTTCCCTAAATGTTGCTGCCACAAGTAAATGGTCCAAGCTAAGCAGGGAATTGAGATGAGATGGAGTTCCCACAGAGTTACCCTTTACAACAGTGCCAAGCCCTAGGCAGCATTCTGAGGGCAAGAAGGCCAGCCTTCACCACCATCCCCACACCTGCCCATACCACAGATACCTTCCACCTCATGCCCATCTTTGCATACATCCTCCCGCCCTGCATCCAGTCCTTCCTGGGTTGTGCTCAAAGTTCTAGAATCCGGCCTGCTGGCTCTTTTATATAGCCCAAGAGCTAAGAATAGAGTTTACTCTTTTAAACAGTTGGAAACATTCAAAAGAAAACTAGTATTTTATGACACATGAAAGTTATGTGAAATGCAAATTTCAGTATCCATAATGGATACTTGTTTGCCCACTGTTGATGGCTACTTTCCTTCTACAATGGCAGAGTTGAGTACTTGAGACAGAGACCA